GTCACTCAAAATCCCACCCCTCAGAGATAGCAATTACAGTTTTATTTGGGTACATTTCAGCCCAATCTATATTCTGTGCATGTTATGGCACAGTTGCAATCATATCTTAAGTCTGGTTTTATATCCAACTTTCATCTATAAGTGGTTTCCCACCCGAAACACCCATCAGAAAGAACTTATGAACCCCTATGTTCATAGCAGCGCAATTTACAATAGCTGAGATCTGGAAACANTGAAACACCCATCAGAAAGAACTTATGAACCCCTATGTTCATAGCAACGCAATTTACAATAGCTGAGATCTGGAAACAGCCCAAGTGCCCATCAATAGATGAGTGGATAAAAAAGCTATGGTACTTATATGCATGTATGCATTATCCACGGACACAGATGACAGTGTGGTGAAGACCTGGGGTGGGGAGTGGATGCGGGGTGGAAGGGGTGAATAGGATAAAGAGGGGACATCTATAATATTTTTAACAATAGAGACAAATTTTAAAAAAAGAAGCTGTGGTACATTTACACCATGGAATACTATGCAGCTATAAAAAAAGAAGGATCTCTTACCCTTCGAGACAGCATGGATGGACCTGGAGAGTATTATGCTAAGGGAAATAAGCCAGTCAGAGAAAGGTAAGTATCTCTTGATCCCACTCATATGTGGAATCTAATGAACAAAATAAAGTGATGGCCCGGCCGGGCGTGGCTCAGCGGTTGAGCGTCGACCTAGGATCCAGGCGATCGGGGTTCGATTCCCGGTCAGGGCACATGCCTGGGTTGCGGGCTTGATCAATGACTCTCATTGATGTTTCTATCTCTCTCTCTCCCTCTCCCTTCCTCTCTCTGAAATCAATAAAGATATATTTTAAATAAATAAATAAATAAATAAAGTGATGAACAAAATAGATCCAAAGACACAGAAGCATGGAACAGACTGAGGAATCTCAGAAAGAAGGCAGGGGTGGGGGAGTGGGTGGGGAGAGATTAATCAAAGAATTTACATGCATATATGTATAACCTATNTCCATGCACAAAAACAATAGTATGAGGAAGGCCTGGGGTGTGGTGAATGAGGGGTGGAGGGGATCAATGTGGGGGGAAGGGGAGACAGATAATACTTTCAACAATAAAGATAAATTTTTTTAAAAAATCATGCCTTATGATTTATGGCTTGACATTCCTCTATAGACTCCTATAATCTAATCAGTTTCCTTGACTTTTTTCTTCCTTTCATTAGTGACATTTTTGGAGAGTCGGGTGTGATGATTAATTTTGTGTCAACTTAACTGGGCCACCAGATGCCAGGATACCTGGTTAATGTTATTTCTGGATGTGTCTGTGAGGGTATTTCTGGAAAATATTACCATTTAAATCAATAAACTGAGTAAAGCAGGTGCCCCTCTTAAATGGTGTGGGCATTATCCAAAACCACTGAGGGCCTGCATGAATAAAAATTTTAAAAAATTAAAAAGGCAGAGGAGGATTGAAACCACTCTGCCTGACTATAAAGCTGGGACAGCAATCTTCCCTGGCCCTCAGTGCTCCAGCTTGCTCGGCCTTGAGACTTGGAGAGGAATCTACACTCTGGCTTTCAGGCCTTCAAGCTACACTACCCGCCTTCCTGGGGCTTCCTCTTGCAGATGGCACATTGTGGGATGTCTCAGTCTCCATAATCGCATGAGCCAACACCTTACAAATATATACACTGTTGGTTCCATTTCTCTGAAGAACACTGACTAATGCACCAGGTAAATTGTCTTACAGAATTTGTAGAATGCCTCACAGTCTGAATCTGAGAAATTTTGATATCCCTCACAATTAAATATTTAGGTTAAACATTTTTGGAAATTGTACCACATAGGAGATGTTATCCAAGATTCCATTGTTAGAACTAGAGCTGTTTCCTTGTATAAATAAATAATAAACCAATGTGTAAAAAACACTATCTGCCTAAATATTAGAGCAATCACATTTTAAAATAAAGATTAGAAAGAGAATATATCTTCTACTTGTCACCTCTTATTGTCAGTAGAAATCAAAAGGTATAATGGCCCTAAGACTTTCTGCTTGGCATAAAGAGTCAAAGGGCACAACCTACACATTAAAAATAAAAATGTCTTTGTATCAAAATATTTGAAGTGTTTATTTCTAAGGATTGGAATTGCAGGGGATTTTATATTATTTTTGCAGTGTTGGTGTGTTTATAACAGGCATATACGACTTCACTTCTATAATCAAGGAAATATATTCCAAACATTTTTAAATGAAAAAATATTTTAACTAAAGATTTAGGGGCTCACATTTTCTTACAAAATTAGGTAGCACAGGATTTCTGCTCTCATTTTCATTCCATAGTAAAACAATCACTGGGCAATACTAATCCTTGAGTTTCAATGATGGTAAACGTCTTCAGTTTTTCTACAAGACTTTAATGGATTGCCTTTTAAGTGTTCATATTTTGGGGCAAAATTATAAACATTACAGAACAAAGGAACCATCATCAGTTGATTCTCTGATACAGCACAGACCCTTCAAATGCAGTCTTCTCCCTTTGATTTTTTTTCCCTGTTAAGCTTTTGGTTCAGATTCAAATACATTCTGAATAGATGCAATTAACCTTAACAATATGTATAACCTTACAGCACTGTACTGACTTTGAAGTAAGTAGCCTTATTGTGTAATTGAACTAAGTTTCTTTTTTCTCGTTTCTGCTAGGCGTCTACTGATTGTTACAGGTATTGTGTGTTTTCCAGCTTTCATCATCCTCTTGATTTATTGTTTCACTGTTTCAGCTGTCAAAGGCTTTTTGAGAAATGCCCGCTCATTTTTGATGATATTGTATTTGAACAAAAATGATTACTCCCCAAGACTTGGCAGGCTGCAAATTCATACCACACTGAGGAGTGGAATCTGGTGCAAAAGAGTTGGAAATTCATCTAAGCAGGAACATAATTTCTACTCTCCTGCATAAACAAGAGGGTAAATTTGATCTAATCAAACCAAAATGTCTTTTCTTTTCGTTCACTCCAATAATCTCTTCTGCCATGCATAGAACTGTGCTTTTCAAACTGTAGGTGGTAAGCCACGAGAGGAAAATTTATTTTTAATGAATAAGAAAAAAAATGTCAAGAATTTCTCACATTCCCATAGAAAATTTGCCCTTATAAACTACTTCTCTTATCCAAATTATTTTAGAGCTGTAAAGAAATGTCACATTACTGTTTCTATAGCACCATTTGCCCATAGAAGTTCTATTTTTTTATGTGAAAATATGGCGATTGATAGGAAATTAACTAGTTGCACTTCACTCCTTCCAGCTCTACATCATGTTCAGGATCCAGACTGTGTCAGATAGACTCGGTCCGGTTTGAGTGCTGGTTCTGAGACCTAAGAAAATCATTCAACCTCTCAAGACTCAGCTTCTTTACCTATAAAGTAACAACGTCTTTACTGTGAAGAGAAAATTTAACAAAGTATGTAATATGCTTAGCACAAGGTCTAGAGCACAGGTTAAGAGTTCCAGACATAAAAGTTCAAGTTACTGATTGCTATTTTGGTTCTAGTCTCTTGGTTTAACTACTTCAGGTTGCAACTAATTTCAGGGTACTGTTTAACTATTATTTCAGGTCACAACTAATTCACTCTATGCTACCATAGTATTGCAATGCTTCATCATTTTCTCATTTCAAAAATAAACCAAATAGGCAGAGCTCTGCTAGTTTGGTAGTAGAATCTGGTAATCATTGAGGCACCTACCCAGCTCACTGAGCCACATCATTATCATAAAGTTAGAAATTCATTAAATAGTATCCATTAAATACTACCTGTCTTACAAACTTCCTGAATGCTTATGAGTCGTGCCTGGAGATTGGGTTAAATAGTCCCCTAATGAATAGCCACCTATACTGAGCCATCAAGAAGAACACTCATCAGCCTGGCCAGGTGGCTCAGCTGGTCGGAGTGGTATCCCCCACACCAAAGGGTTGTGACAGTCCCAACCCCAGGTGGGGTGCATATGGGAGACAACCAGTCAATGTTTCTTTCTCTCTCTCCCTTCCTCTCTCTCTAAAAATCCATGAAATCATAACCACAGGTGAAGATTTTTTTAAAAAGGAAGAGTACTCATCAGAATCTGTCACAGATTTCTCTCCCCCTGTGTATTATTGTTTCATAGCCCCTCGGGGAGCTTTGGCCAGTATTCAGCTCTCCATTCCCAGGGAGGAGTAATAGCCTGATCCTTTCAGGCCGTGTGGCATCTATAGGCCAAGCTTATTTTCTCACAGTCACACGAAGAGACTGAAGAGAAACCTGGAGCACTGCAGTGAAGAAGAAATAGTAAAAGCAGTTCTTATCGGCTCTCATAAGTTTATAGAAACTGGCACTCTGTTTAAGACCATTTTATGTGACTACTTTGGACTCAAACAACACCTTGACTCACCGTCAAGAATGACTTAAATTTTTGATCAGCTGTCTTAGACATAAGAAATTATATTGCAGGGTTCAGAATATACACATCAATTATTAAACTGTGATGTTTATAAAAACTGAACTGATACTGTAACTTAATGACTATGTTATCATATATCTCACCTTCCATCCCAATTTATATTTACAAAATGTTTAATACTTATGTACCACAGTGCTCTTTAAGGGGAAAAGAGAGAGAAATCAGAGCTTGGCTGTCAATAAGTGGTCTTACCAAACCCTCCTTTACTGGTAAATATTAGTTACCAGGGTTATTTTCTTTCCAGTAGCACAACAGGCTGTGAAAAGTACTGAAGTTAGAGTGAGAAAGCTAGGGAATGTCCCCCGAGCCCCAAGGGAGGAAATGAGAAAAAGAAGCGTGTTCCCCCAGAGCACACACAAAGCACTCGGTCAGACACCGTGTCTAAGCTGTGTGCTGGGGGACAGGCGCATCTTCAAGGCTGTGTTGGTTTGGGCTCTCCAAGCAGCACACAGCAAGATGCATCCGGGTGGGATTAGACCCGGGAGAGGTTTACTGGGGGAATGCCTGTGACGGAGAAAAGGGGAACGAGCAGGAGTCGGCAGGGACAGCCTTGAGAACCAGAGCAGGTCCAACACCTATGGAAGGGGAGAGCCTCAGGCTGCTGCTGTCCAGTCCTGAGGAAGCCTTGGCTAGGGCAATGGGAGTCTTCTGGCAGCAGCTGGCCAACAGAGGAGCTCCACATGGGCGGGGACGGCTGGCACGAGCGGCCTGGACCGCTCAGACGCTGCCGGGAAGGGTGCAGAGCAACTGTGCTGTCAGGGCAAACGAGCTAGTGGATCCAAAAGGGTGGCAGCTGAGGCTGTCAGTTGGCTGTGCCCCTTGCAGGGCGTTCTTTGGAAGGAGCCCTGAATAGCAAGCTTCCCTGGCTGCCACAGGAGCTACTTAAACTCCTGTGTATAATAAAAAAAATACAGATATTTAATTTCGGTCCCTGATTTCTGGCACAGAGCTCCTAAAATCATTGGAATTGTGAGTAATAAAAGCCTGGATGATATGCTAAGGAAACAGATGACTCCTGGTGGGGGGGCCTCTAGATAACTTCAGGGTGGGAGCTGTTTGCCAGAAAAACCAGCCACGAGATTAGAGGGTTAGAGCTCTCAGGTCCACTCCGCCCCCCACCTCTGGGACATTGAGTTCAGTCACCACCGGCCAGTGATGTAATCAGTTATGCCTATGCAGTGGAGCCTGAATAAAATCTCTTGAACAATGAGGTTGGGGAGCTTACAAATTAGTGAACACATCAAGGTGCTGGGAAGGCTACCCACCCAGAGAAGGTATGGGAGCTATATTTTGCCCTATGAATCTCTTCCATTTGACTGTTCCTGAGTTATATACTTTATAACAAAACTGTAATCATAAATACAGTGGTTTCCATGACTTCTGTAATTCATTCTAGTGAATTATTGAACCTGGAGGTAGACAGAAGTCATGGGAACCCCAAATTTGTAGTCAGCTGAGCAGAAATGTAGGTAGCTGGGGACTTCACTTGTAGCTTAGGGGAATAAACCCTTAACTTGTGGCATCTGTGCTAACTCTGAGCACTTAGAGTCAGAATGGAATTGAACTGCAGTTATTTGGTGTTGGAATGACATATTTGTAAGAGAAAAAAAACACACAACTCCTATTTATCCTGTGGACTTGCAGCTGAAACATCACCTCTTAGGGTTCCTTCTGCTCCCAAGACTAGCCCTGGATTTCCTTAACAATGCATAAAAAGAATTATTTGTGTAGTTATCTGATAAGTGTCCACCCCATCAGTTAGACTGTAAACTTCATAAGGACTTGTCTTTTGCTAAGTAGTTATTTTTCCCTATATTTTTAATTAAATATACAGAGCTAGAGGGCTGTCGTGAGGACTGAAAGAATTAATACATGTCATGCACTTCCACATACTAAGCACAACAAATGTTTGCTACTATTACATCTTTAAGTCTCTACAGTTCGCAGTATAAAGTAGTCCACAAATATGTTAAGGTAAATTGAATTTGTACATACATTATATTAAAGTTAACTGTTTAGTAAAATTCCACAGTATGGGTTCATTTTCAGAACGTCTTTATATCCTTCAAACAGCATCAAAAGGACCACTTGCAGGTATGGTTATAGACAAGTATCTGAATGAAGAGAACCCTGCCTGTATTACTATCTCAGGAAGGGCCTATTGCCGAGAATTCAATAAAGCAAGGTAACAATCCCTTCCAGAAAAACCTGTGCCTTAGTCTTACAGTATCTAGCTATGAGTAAGTGAGCAAGATGTTTACAAACAAGCAAACTATTGAAATGAAGGGTAAAAGATTATTTTGGATTAGAAGTTTGTGGGAGCTTTTTTCTCTTTAAGTCTGTGTAGATAGTTTATGATATTTAAAGACAAGATAAAACCACCAACTAAAAATAAGTGGGGAAGCCAATATGAATTAGTAAATACTTGTAATTATTTAAATCCAAATACAGTCAAGACCTCAGCCTTGCCTTGGAGTCTACTATATAACGGCCCTCAGGATTCATTTTAAGAGACTGTCATAAAATCTCTTTATTTATACATTTATATGTAAGTAGTGTTTTATGTTTTTACAAGGCACAAACAACCCAGGGTAACAGCATAGCACTTGGTCAACAAACATATTCAATGAATATAAAGCCATCAGCACCCAATATTTTACTGGATATTTATTTGCTTTTTATGCATAAATGTACAAAGCAAATATACAGTAAAACATTGCAAATATCCAGCAGAATATCCATGCATAACACAAACATGCACACACATACTAAAAAAGGAACCCTGAGACGTTGATATCAACTCATTTTAAGTAGCTAAGCACCTCGTTGAAGTTCAGACAGCAAGCAATGGCACAAACAGAACTTAAACCCAAGTCTGCCTGGCATCAAAGCCGACGCCCCTCTGCCACACAGAGGCTTTCCTAATGAGCCCCGTGGAAGGATGCCCACAAAACAAAGTCAAATCCCAACCCTTTATCATATAATTAAGCTCACACTGAGAGTGAACAAACTAAGCCTGACTATTAAGTACTTAATTTTACCCTTCCCTTTTCTTAATTTTCCATCAGAAAATGCTCCCAATTTCTCTCCAAAAGAATAACTCAAACCTTAATAGCTTTTTGTTGTTGTTGTTGATTTTACTGAGATGTTATTTTTTCCATTTAGCCATTTCCTTGATTTCCCACTTCCATTAAAGGAGATAAGTGAGAAAAAATGGCAGATATAAGTGATTAATGCAGACATAAGAGGCCTTTAGAGTGGTCCAAAAGGATTTTGATGTTAAACACCTAAAAGGGGATATATCTTTTAATGCTCTACCTTTTGCAACTAGTTCACATGAAAGTAGAAAAATAGGAGAATTCTGTGAAAGATAACTGAACTCCCCCATGAATTCTCTAATGGTCTACTGGCAAACCCTAGAAATCACAAAATAGTATGCAGTGAAGAACTGCCCCTTTCTGAGCAAGTTGGTCCAGCAAGATTCTAGGGCAATTTACAATCAAATAAGAAAATAGATGCAACTACTAATGTTTATGAGATGATATGAGCTTGCAAATAAATGATTATACCTCAGTAGATGCTTTTTTATAGAAAACAAAGCAGGTACAGGGTGTTTATCATCAACCCGAAACTAAGTGTCCATGACCTCTGATACATTAAATGCTGCTGCTTATGGAGATATAGGTTACTCAAAATTAATGTGCTTCTAGAGAGGGGGAGAGAAATGCAGCAATCTCACACTGAAACCACCAAGATCATCCACCTCAACTAAGATTAACCCTAAACTGAATAATATTAAAAGACTGGTACTTATGAATTCTCCCAAAACTTAAGGGATGAAAGAAAATCTGTTTATTGGTCACAAGGTTATATATTGTTCCTTAGCAATCCGCATTTGTCTTCCAAGTGACTAGAAGTTGAAGGAAAGGGGGAACTAAAAATGAAACCATTTGGACCTTTCCAGTTCACAGAGGCAGCACTTCAAACGCAACAATGTCTTCACAAACCACACTGTTGAGTTACAGCAGCTCATTCCATTGGGCAGAAAGCCAGAACCACTGCCACTTTGCATAATAAATGTATCCCAGACACAAACTGGATTCCCTGAACTGAAGATCAAGAGTAAATAGTACCTGTCTGTTCCATTGAGGAGCACTTCTCAAGGTAAGGGACAGGAAACTGCAGTGACTCCCCCCCTCGCAGTCTACCCCTCGGGTCCCAAGTGCCTGGTTTGCCTGGGAGCTGTGCCGGGAGGCAGCATTTGGACCTACCCTGCCCCAGGCCCTCCTCACCCTTACCATGCAGCTGGTGTGGAGACACCATTTAGGGCACCAATTTTTAATACAGGAAGGACTTTTTTTTCACACTTGTTAGAGTGTGAGTTCTGAAGACACCTGGAAAATTAGTAAGAAGCCAAGGCGGTTTGTCTACACCCAATCCTGCAGCCAGTCACCAGAATCAGGAGGCCGGTGGCCTTGAAAGGAATGGGGCTCAGGTAAGCATGCAAAGAACCGCAGACTGGCATTCAATTTGTGTTTAGGCAAGTGAACCTTCATTCTCTCGATAACCGTTACTGGGCCCCTGTGGTGTCGAACTGTAATGATCAAGAAGGTGTCGGTGAGTATGTCTGGGGTCCAGGCTCCTGCCCTCGCCCCCCGCCCCAAGACCTGCTGTGAAATAACTTACTGGCTCTCGCCCGTCTGCCCCGGTCTCTCCCGCGAGGGGTTCTCGGGAGTTGCCTCCAAAGCCGGTCCCGGGCCTTGCAGCGGGTCAGGCTCCGGACGCCGCACGGAGGGGTCGCGGGCCTGGCGGGGGGCGGCGGCGGAGGTTCTGATCCCGGAGCCCACACTGCGGGGGTACATGGTTCAGAGCCCGCGGGCCGGGCGCCGCGGAGGGAGCGATGCGGGCTGGGACCCGGCGAGTCTCGGGATGGGATTCCGAAGGGCAGCGCCCGCGGGTTTAACAGCTAAGTTTCGATTCCTTACCAGCGGCTGTGGATCGCGCCCGCCCCGGGACTCCC